GTAGCAGGTGGTGATAGCCCTATCTAGCCTTCGTACCCCACCACGTGTTGTAGGCAAGTTCTTAAAAGGTAGGGCCCCCATAACAAGATAGCCACATCGGATAGGGTTTCACTCCCTATTGTTCGCCTATCACCTCTTGTAAGCATGTGGGTGACTAACCCTTTATAACTACTATCTTTACCAGATATCATTGCTACAAAGATCCTCTTTACCCAAGTTTCATAGGCTCTTTTGTATCATCATAGGACGGTCTTGATCTTAGTTAGTTCACTTCATGTTCCCTATGAAAATCACGATACCTGGAATACTCCTGGTGAAGGCTACATTGACAACTGTATGCTTGCAGTTTACCCATTTGCCACTTTAGGTGTCAACATAGGCTAGAGTTGTGTGCGTGCTCTTTCTCTCCATGCCCTTTTTCCAATAGGGTTTTGGGATGGAGTTTTAGTGAGGCACACACATGTAGGTTGCAAAGGGTGATCCTCGCGACTTGGGTTCGAGTTCTATTTGTGCCTCTTCTATTATGAGAATCTATTAGGTCGTGTTGTACTAGCCATAACCTAATAGCTTAGGGGCCACTGTTGGGGGAGCTCATGAGGTCTGTGGACCAAATCTCTCCCCCTAGAAGAGGCTCAACTAGCAGCTAGAGTAGTTTCATGTGAAATCTAACCCCACCAAGGGGGCACTTGTAAATAGTCATTGCCAATATAAGTGTCCAAGGGGCATGTGGGCAAGGGACATCAACTCCCACTCATTTCCACTTGTTCAAAACCCTAGTGTCCTCTCTCCACCATCGGGCTCTCTCATCCCTCTCTCTCTTATTTGGAACCATCAGTTCCAACACATTACTTAACATTCATCATATCGATCAACATGCTATTGTAATCAGCACTCGGTATTCAACAGTTCAATAATTACTTAATGGTTTATTACATCATTTATTACTAAATAACCAAAAGGAGAGAGAGGCATAGATTATAGTAATGAATATCTACCTCAGTCAGGATTAGCTATGCTAAAAATTTATCACGGCAAAACCAAATAGCGATGTTTAGCAAAGTTAAAATGTCATTAGCAGGAATAGTGGAAGAATTGATAATAGCATAGCGGTAGACACTTTGAAAAGCTATATCGGCCTATTTAAAACCATGTCCATTGCCTAGTCAATAACATCACCAGTCTTGCTTGGCTGACAAATATATGATCATGTCTTTGCCACCATTGAGCATACCAAGACAGGCACTACATGATCAACTATAGGAGCAAATTGTCCAACCCGTTCAGTGTCCTTATGTAATACTGAGACAGGCAGTACATGATCAACTATAGGAGCAAATTGTCCGACCCATTCAGTATCCTTCTTTAATCTCTCAATGTGGCTCCAGTTGTTGTCAACAATATTCAATGCATAGTTGGTATACTTGGTAGCCAAGAGCATCCTCCACAATGGAGTCTTTCACAACTTCAACTTGAAGATTGAGCATTGATTTGCACAATACCTAGATACAGAGAAATCCAATCCAATTCAAAGTGGTTTTTATTCCCCATAATGTACCCACCCGTTGAATCAAGATTGCAATTAAATTGCAAGATTGAATCAAGATTGGTCATGAAGAAAGGCATTCTGGACATCAATCTAACGAAGGGACCAACCTTTTGAGATTGCAATTAATAATATGAGATGATTGTTGTAGCCTTGACTACTAGACTAAAGGTGTCCTCATCCATGCCATAACATTGTTTATACTCTTTTGCAACAAGCCGTGCCTATATATCAATCATGCCATCAGATTTCCTTCTCATTTTATAGACCCACTTGCACCCTATAACATTCTTGCCTTTTGGAGGAGGTACAAAGAGTCTTGTTCCAAAGCAAAGCTTGATATTCACTTTCCATTGTTGAGCCCTAATTTTTGTCACTAAGGGATTCATCAACAGTTGTAGGCTCTTTTGCAGAGGACATAGCAAGCGGAACATACACCAACTGTGGCATCAGTTTAAGTTTTGGGTTTGCTAAATAACTTGTTGGAGCAAAGTTGTTGGTCGTTCCGGTGCTGGAGTCACAGAGGGGCTGACAGAGCACTAGCCATAGACGATCCGTGCGCCAAATCCACCTAGGTGGCAGCCTCCTATCCCCTTTGCTCGGATCAGGGTGTGGAGCCACAGGCGGCGTCACGGAGTCAAGCAACATGGAGCCACTGTAGAGGATCCACCCAAAGTTGGAACCCAACAGTCCACAGTTGGCTTATCGAAGCAATCTATTGAGGATTCTTTGCAATAAAAGCTAAAAAGAGGGCAACTTAGAAGATGAAGATCAGTTGTGTTGCTCTTCTAAGTCAAGTTGTGACCTCCCCTTGTACCCTAGAATGTGATTAGTTCGTTTAGATCTTTTTGCCCAACTTGACAGCCTGCTAAATCTAGAGAACTGTTTGCGCTACTAGCAAGTGTAATTCTCTCTTCTCCTTAGTAATATATGCCACCTACGTTCTAGATCTTTTAAAAAAATAACCGATTAGAAATGGGCTCTGCACAGCCAATTCGAGGAAGCTGAGCAAGAATGGTCAAAAAGATCCAAATTCGAATCAAGGAGTTTGAGGATCCTTGTTCTTCACTTGCAACTGATTAAGGTTCAGAATGCTTTCCCGAACTATCAAAGACTGAAGTTTCAGGAAAACAGAGACTATCAAAACCTGATGATTTAACATGAGCCTGCCTAACTGAAGGTTGAGCACTTGTAGAGGTATCAGCATAATATTTGCCCTTTTTCTTCTAAACTTCAGCCCAATCAAACTGTGGCTAAGATTAAGTGGTGATAGAAACCCGAGCTCTAGCTAAACCATTAACATTATAGAGGTGAAAGTAAACTCTAAAAGTTCTGCAAGAATTACCTCTCAAATTTATAAATAAACAGTCCAACATTTTTGCACGATACTGCAAATATTAAAATTCTGTTTTCAGTCTCAACATAAAGCAGTTGGCAACTTATAATTGAGTCAGATTACTCATTCTTTCACTGTTTTTTAGGAACTTCTGGGTGCTGCTAGATAGGGACTTGTCAGCAGCAAGCCGATCAAAATGATAATGGAAGTGCAACCAAACAATACGTATAGCTAGCTTGGTTATTATAGTGAATTATGGAGTTTAAGTAGTTTGATTGACTGGCTTCCATGGACAACATAAGTTATACTCAAGGATATGTGTAAATCAGTATCTAGTGTGATAGATGTTCATTGTGACATTCTAGAACTGAACCTACATGAATGAATCAATGTTGTGATGATGTCTTGACATGGATACCATTTTTTCGGTACAATGTTGATAGGACGTGAGGTCCTACCGGAGTTGCTGCGGAGGTTGTAGGGATGGAAGAGGGGAGGGCGAGGTCTGATCTCTCGACGACGGCATGGTGCCGTGGCGACGAGAGGAAGAGGCGACGGTTGCTCGCTGCTGCTGCCCAAGGGCTGTGCGTGAGAGGAGGCAGGGAGGCAAGGAAGTCACGTATGCAGCCCTTGGCCCTTGAGGCCAGGCAAATAATGTTTGCCTTGCTTATCTTCCAATCATCCTAAATTACAAGTATTTATCCTTCTCTATAGATGCTACAATTAAGGAACTATATTTATCTCTAAGAAAATACCAAATAAGCGATAAATTTGACCTCTAAGCCCCTTAACAGAGCCGGGCCCCCAACCACTATTGGGCCTGCGCCTGACATAGGGGATGCCGGTCATAACATCTCTCCCCGCCTGCGCAAACAGCTCGTCCTCGAGCTAGAAGTCGGGGTAGACGTCGCGAAGATGCTGGAGAGGCTCCCATATTACGTCCTCCGCTGGCAGGCCGCGCCATTTGACAAGCACGTGCCACACATCTCGCCGAAGTTGTGCACAAAGGGCGCGCTCTGGAGCTAGCAACAGCCGGCCATCCGATGTCGGCGGCAGAGGAGCAGGCGCCGCTGGGGGATCACCTTTGTGGGGCTTCAGCAGCCCCACATGGAAGCTAGCTAGTGCGCCTTTTAAATAAAATAATAATACCAAAAAAAAATTGCTAGTGCGCGTGCCACCTGCAACTTTGTAATAGATCATTTAAAGAAATTACAGCCAAAAGGTATCTATGAACTTCAGATCTGCTTTAGTTCTCATATCTAATTTTCGTAACTGCTCTCAACTTTTTTGGCCACCAAAACAACTTTAAATTGAAAATTTATCAACTACAACATTGCAAATCACATTGAGCACTACGATTCTCATATAAAGCCGTCCCTATATTTTCTTCATTTCTTGAGTTATTCGTGTAATTGCTGTATTAATCCATATATAGAAAAAGAAAAGCAAAGAAAGCCCTGTCGGTGACTATTTAGGCAGGCCAGCTACAGCTAAGTTGCAAGGTAGAACAGAGCACGCGAACAATAGAGTAGACTCTGAGAGCTGGCAGTATCATGTGTAAAAGAACGTTAGAAAAAATAAAACGTCTACCTTCTGCTGGGATGATGCAGTTTTTTCTGTCAATCTTGCACTATCTGCAATCTATTCTGGTTGAGCTTTAAAATGCTATATGAAAAGATCCCTGCAATAATGCAAACTATTTTGATTAAGCAAGGCACAACTTTCGTATAAACCATCCACACCATGCTCATATTTCATATACCACAACAGCACATCTCGATATGCACAATCATCTTCATCAGAATGGCACATCTACTTCATGATGAAAGAGAAGCAACTCCATTTACAAGCTTACTATGCATCACCTGCAGCAAACAAAACCAAACCGTTTGCCAGATGACTAAATAAGGACCACTGATGCTAAACAATCAAAAAGGTGGGGAAAGAAACAACAGGCGCATCATGATACTGAAGCCCTAGAACAACATGTACATAGGTTGCTTTCATGCCATAAATTTGGATTGACTGCACGACAAGCTGGGACCGGGCGGGGCTGGAGCCCTGTTAGTTGAGTCGACCACACCAAGAGGACCTTGATTTACTGAAGGTGTGGTTGCCAGATTATCTACTATGGTCCTCTAACAACACAAGAATGTCTTCGTAGCTTGTTCCACCATCGATTGCATACTGTAATGCTGTCCTACCATCTCGATCCATGGCTTGTGAATCAGCCCCTCTGCATACAAACGAAAAAAGAAAATGAGACTTTGTGTTTGCATTCCTGCCGCTTTGCTGGATCATTTCAGTGTTCTTCCCATAAAGAAAAGCAGAAAGCACACTTCGCTAAACAAAACAGAGCTCTGATGATTATTATTATATAGTATTATACTAGTAGTGATTCGAATAAACCTTGTTGACAAATCAAACATGTAGTCCAAGATCAAATTCCTGAATAGTCAGCTTCTTGCATACCTGGAGAGGAGAAGCTTTGCATGCCAATGTCGTCCTTTCAAAATGCAGTGATGAAGGGGTGTGCGACCCCTAGAATCATTCATATTTACACTAGCACCATACTGCAAAAGTAATTCAACCATCCCAACATCTGCAACACGGCACGCAAGATGGAGCAAGGAGAGACCTTCACAACCGTCCTCCATGTCATCTGTGCGTGAACTCGTGCTAGCAGGGGAAAGGGGCTCTCGAGGAGAAATCTTGTCATGTGAATTGCAATCAAAAAATCTAGGACTTCCATCAGGTGGTGAAGCCGGTTGCTCTTGCTGAAGTGCTTTTCCAAGAGTCAAAAATGGGCTACAAGGCATCTCTCCATAAACTAAATTTACATTGGCACGTGATCTCACAATGAGACTGTATGATGCTTTCTTATCATTTGCAGCTACACTATTCCACATCTGCTGAGCTAGCTGATTCTCATCCATACTATGGTTCCGTATGAATTCTTTGTCTACATACTGCAATATTTACACCGAAAAGATTTAAAAAAAAATCAGCAACCAAATTGGGATATATGACACATATTTCAAAATGAAGATCTTCAAATAGGCCTATAAATACACACATTGAACCATGTTTAACGCTATAGAGATTCTAGTTCATGCAGTGTTGTTTTCAGATGGTTTCATGGGCATGTGATCATGGATGAGCATTGGGAAGTGCCTAAAGTAATTTCTTACGAAACTTCAAGAATCTTGCCAAGAATGTAGCCCCTCCAGTCACCGCTAAGTGTCATTTTGGAATGCATCATGTCCAGACACATATTTTGCCACCAATTTCTACTGTAATATATTTTTCAAAACCAAAAGAAACATTATAGAAAGCTAGTTTTGAGACAAGCTTATTTGTACTATTTCTGCATGGTCTATTTAATATAATTAAATATATGACAAATTCATGGTGGCCCTTAAACTTGTCAGGCTGTGCCATCAAGATCCATCAACTTATAAATTGCATTTTTTTGGACCCCTAAACTTGGAGGTGAACCACTTAAAAAGGTTATGTGCCTAAAACTGCAATTTGTAAGTTGGTGGACCTGACAAGGGTCAACTGTATATTTCACTCTAAATACATATTTGGACAAAGTTACAATGGTTTGACTGAACACATTCTTGGATGGAATTTTTTTTCTTGATTGGCGAGAGTATTGATCAAAATACCAAGAAAAATACTACTGTGAGTACATCATCAATGTTAGTAGCTTGCAGGACGAACTATTATTTTTCCTTTTCCTTTTGAAAATTACTCCCTCCATTCCAAATTGTAAGTCATTTTGGTTTTTTCTAGGTACATAGCTTTTGTTACGTATCTATATGGACGTGATGTCAAGATACATAGTAAAAACTATGTATCTAGAAAAGCCGGAATGCCTTACAATCTGAAATGGAGGGAGTAGTTTCAACTCAATAACATCATGAAGAGTAAATTATCTAGTTCACATATAGGGCCTCTTTGGCACGGCTTATGCCGGCTTCGGCTTCATCTATTTTGCGCAAATCGAGGCACTGTAGCGTGAAGCCGTTTTGTAAGCCAGGGTTAAAATGAACTAGAAGCCGGGAAAAGCCAGTTTTTCTGGCTTCACCGGCTTTGGCTTCACCGGTGAAGCCGTTTTGGATGAGCCATGCCAAAGGGGGCTATAGTATAGCATATATGAGTGCAAATTTGGTGCCCAGGGGACTGGCGCCCTCGTTAGCTAAATACCATGTTGCAATGTTTTAAAAATCATGTATGTAGTACACATAAAGTTAAGTACAACCGCAACAATTCAGTTTGAAATTCATCTTAGATGCCAAGAAACAAAATAGACAAGCAATCAACCACTGTTCATCATGTGCTGACAGTGACACTATGAATTGCTGTGGCTACACTTAACTTTAGGTGTACTACATACATGATTTTTGTGATGATTTTTGAAACATTGTAACATGATATTTTAGCTAACGAGGACGCCATATGATTTCCCAGCATATATAATGTAAAAGGAATCCATACAGTGGGTCTCAATTTATGAGGAAAAAAGGAGGTGAGCATATTGGCCGATAAAACAAAATAAAACCATCCAATCAACTCTCAGTTACACAACCATGTTTTCTCTACAAAAGTCTATGCAGGACTTTTTTTCTCTCGAATATGCAGGAGAACTGCATATCATTGTATTAATAGTAGAGAAAAGGAGTTATACAGAGACCCAAACACACACACACACCCGCTTACTGACTGAAACTAATCGCCTATGACAGAGATGAACGACCTGACAAAAGACCCTCTAACCATCATCCCGAGCTGTGTGCAGGGACAGTCCCTTAGCACCAGCTATAGACCATAAAAGGGCTTCCTCCCGAGCCAGGTTCAAAGCCGTAGACAGTCTAGGGGTAGCTCCATTGAAGACACAGTCATTTCGATGCTTCCAGATGGTCCAGGCGCCTAGGATGATGAGGGAATTCAATCCCTTTCGCGCATCTCCGCTTACTGTCAAGACCGCCTTATCCCACCAGGCATCAAAGGAGGAATCGACTGGCTGCGGGGCAAGTGTTGCAAGACCGATGCTATGTAGGATGTCATACCAGAATTGTCTTGCAAACACACATCCAATGTGGAGGTGCTGGATGTTCTCTTCCTCTTGATCACATAGTAGACACCGGTCCGGGTGAGGAAGACCTCGCCGAGCTAACCTGTCTGCTGTCCAACAGCGATTGTGAGCAGCCAGCCACATGAAGAAGCGACATTTAGGGGGCGCCCAAGATTTCCAGATGCGCTCATATGGGGCAAAACTGAGGGCACCCTCAAATAGTGCATCATAGGCGGATTTAGCTGTATATTCTCCTAAGGCTGAAAGCCTCCAAATATGCCTATCAGGGATCCCCTCCTGTAATACCACTCCTAATAAATCCCATAATTCAAAATATTCCATTAATACTTGCGCTGATATTTCCCCCTGAATATCTTCCAGCCATTTCTCCTCAACAAGAGCAGCCATCACAGTGTGTCTGCTTGCCCTTCTTTTTGATACTAGAGCATGCAGATTGGGTGCAAGATCTTGGATGCTCTTACCAGTCAACCATTTATCCTTCCAAAAAAGGGTATTGGCTCCATCACCAATTTCAGTAATAATGGCCAGGGAGAGAAGGCATTCAACATCCTTGCTTACTTGAAGTGGCAGACTTGCCCAGGGTTTATTAGGTTCAGATTTCTTGAGCCATGGCCATCTTACTCTTAGTGCAATACGTCTATGCAGGACTTGACATTAACATTTTTCATTCATTTGAGGTCTGGGTTCTATGACTGATCATGGAGTAGGGTTCATGTGCGAAACACTACAGAACATCGGGTGAAATTTTCTTAGCAAGGTATGCAGAGAGTTTCCTTGCTTGATAATCTTTACGCAATGAGATACGTGTGCTAATTATGTGATCTGGGAGAAACAGAGCCTTTTAAAAAAAAAGATATAGGTGGATGTCTAAAGCCCTCTTATTATATGGAAAATAATTGAATCAACAGAAGGAATGTCCAGAGCTGGCAGCACATCCTAATTGGCACTATCCACGTTGGGACTGGAGTTCTCTATTTAGTAAACTGTTAAGGAGTCATATTTGTGCAACCATTCTTTGCATGGAGACTCTTCGAGACAATTTGGTTTTACACCCCATCCATTGCTAAAGAACAAAGGAATACAGGCAGTTGTGAATGTAGTGAATACCTTGGCATGAATAAACTTCTCCTTGGCAGAGAATACATCTTTGTGTTTAGGCTTGCTAACAGAGAGGTACTGTGGTGTGTCTGATCCATCAGCACTGCAAAAGAAACAATGTCACAAGTTTGTTACCTGGAGAGCAATAGAGAAGACATTGAATTACTTCATAAAAAGATTCAAAACAGACATAATATGTTACCTTGAATTATCATCGGGCAACATCTCTTCCCAAATATTGTTGACAAACATGTTGCCTAATGACTGAAAGAGATTGATTACAGATGGCTCCCAAACTCGGACATCAAGTGTCAGAGATCTCACCTGAAATAAGATGCATGTGTTTAGGCTACTAATCTATCAAAATAAATATAATTATCCTAAATTAGCAATACAAAAATGTTACTCAGCTATAAGAAACCCTATTTACAGAATTTGAAAAAAAATCATTGTTTTGGCAACAGGTTTATATTTTAAATCTTTTAGCAATTTAAGTTTTGACACTCTTTTTTTGGGCAAAGGTACAATCATGTTTCACTTCCTTCTCTATGCAAAACATGTACATGTTTTGCCGCTTTAGGTGTAGCTGTCGGTGTGATAGAAACACTGCACCAAAGCCCAATTTATCTGATATCATGCACACACTGAAACAACCTCTAGGCTTTAAAGAATAAATGAATGCAGAAATCAATCTATGTGCATGACCATCAAGAGAAACAAACGTCTATAAAAAAAAGAATTAATAGTTAAAAGTTTTGTGGTTACCTTTGATATATGCACTCCAAGATTTCTGTGCACCCCAGAACACTCTATGCATAGAAGTGCGCCAAGGTTTAATGATGCCCAATCAGGTTCCGAAGCACCACAGTCAGCACACATATTATTGCCATCAACTTTCCTAAGCAAGTCAATTGGTTTTTCAGGTTTCATGCTGGTTCTGTGATGATGTGTGCCTCTGACATCATGCTGCCCATTTCCAGAGTTCTTGTCCAGTACTAAATCATCGATTACAGAAGGTTCAAATTCCACTGAACTTGCAAAGGAGCTTCCATCACTGGTACTCCTATCATGACCACTGCCCTTAGGGCTTGACATAAAACACTGAAATAGAACAGCCAAGTACTGTAACCGGAATATTCCAGAATACATGCAATCCAAACAGAAGCCGTCCATTACAAACCTGTTCTGGGGATTGTGAGCTCAGTAAAGACGCAATAACACCAGTTATCTTTTCAATCCAATCCATCTGATCTACAGCACTCTCTGCCTGCATAAATAGCAGATGTGTTCATGAAGTATGAAAATCTTAATCATATTCAATAAGACAGACTGCTCCAACCTGTGCTATACCTGCAATGTGTAGATCTTTGTGGGTGAAATAATTCTGAAACAGAACCTCAGATCTGATTGCTCAGCATCAACTTTAATGGTTGATGTCAACAAATTTACAGTATGCCGTGCAACAGACTTCTCATCATGTATAATACCATGGTAATGAGAAGAGAACAATCTGCTCAACAACCCAGAACCATGTTCAGGGGGGTTAACGCTTCTTTGCATGGAGCAACCAGCCTATATGATCAAAGGCAAAATGGTTGAGGAAAGTATCTGAACTAAAATATATCATGCATCATGGAACAAAATATTATGCCAACTTAATGAGCATTTCAACACTGAATGTTACAACGGAGACCTACAGGTGGCCTAGTAATTTGCTTTCGATAGTAGTACAACATTCCTCGACTATCAAGTACGAAGAACCTTCTTTTCCAATCGGCTCTCAAGTTTGAAGATCTTTTCGAAAGATAACCTTGACGAATGGTCTGAACCTGGAAGTAGTACATCACAAATTTAACTTTCTTTTTCAAACTGTAAACCTGCTTTGGATCTCCAGTGTATTAGTGTCTTACCTTGCCTTTTGAAGTTGACTGCATAACTGCCTCAATCTGTTTATGTGAACTTCTGCCAATTGTCTGTATTCCATCACCATTATAAGAATCATTCAAACCATTTATAGAAGACCGACTTTCCCGGTCTATCTGCCTTTTGTACTCATGCATCTTCTCTACAAGAGAAGCTTGTTCCTTATTTGCCCTTTCTCTTGATTGCTGTGCATAAGCAAGAACCTGAAGAAGAATTTAAAAACAGGTCGAAGAAAAACTTTTTTGTCAATATTTATGAGTAATTTAAGTAGAAGAACAGAAACATTGAAGAAACAAGCAAAACTGTGCTGCGTCTTAATGAAGCAAAGCAGAAACAAACATATCTCAGTACGCATGGCTGGTTGACATAACAAAATTTTTGGCTATAATGTCAGTAACAAACAAGAAAATGCAAAATAAAGCGACAGAGTTGATCAATGAGTTAAATACTAGCCAATAAGACGCCTAGATAATATTGTCGTAAGCCGAAATCAACAGAGCCTTTTGTTATAGAACTGATCCATGTAATAGAATTTCATTCTATTTCAAAAAAAGTGGCAATTCTTAGTTACTTGGGGATAACTCAGTCCAATTATTTTCTCGTAATAATCAAGACCATCATCAGTATATATAAAAGTAACTGCAAAGTTGCACTGAGCACTGAGAACTGGACTCATGCAAAGATCACCTCACCTGTCCAACTAGTGAATTGAAAGCAGAAATGCAGGGTGCTAATATTTGCATGTTAAGATATGTAACTACTAGAGCAAAGCATTAACACCATAATACAAAGGGAAATGGTTTAAGAGTTACCTGATTAATGTATGGCTCCATTTGATGCAATAGTTCATATCCCTGACAAATAGTAATTGATAGGATTAATCTCATTCATGCATAACATAGCTACACCACAAGGTAAAATACGCAAGGAGGTACTTGTTTAAAATATCGAAGATGTGAGTCCATCGTCGCACTAACAGCCTCCAAAAATTCAAATCTCTTCTTTGCCTCGACATGGGAAAGTGAAGTGACCTGACAAATTAACATGGATATGACAAACAATGGCATGCTAAGCATATAAGCTCAGAAACTAAGGAGCAAAGTAAGGGATAATGCAAACCGTACCAGGTTGAAACGAGCTTGCTCAAATGAAGATCTAGCACTGTGAAGCTCCTGGTTATTACAAATGCTATTTAGTTAAGGGGGAGGGAGATATGCCTTAATTTGTGTTAACACTGTAAAATGTTGAATAAGAATGGTTTTTACATCTTCAATTGCCGTTGTTATGTCCGGTCGGGTACCTTTCTTCAATGATAGGTACTTCTCGCGAATCTATAACCAAACCAACCAGTTCACAAGTTAAAAGCATACTCTCTCTTAGAAATTTAGCAAGCAATAATATTACAATTATGCAGCAAAGCAACTATGGCTGAAAAATATGAAAGAATAACAATTTAGCAGAAAAATAACAGAAAAATAGCGAAAACATCAAGTAATGAACAGTTCTAAATTTCGATCAGGTGTCTCGTTATCAATCATTAAACAGACAGCATAGGAATCGCATGTACACGTTATGCCCAGGCAGAAACTTGCCAAATTCCACAAATATTGATGGGTGGGGAAAGAGGATGTTTTTGCTGTTATGTATGAAACGACGCAAAAAGAAAATACATCGCACGCGAGGAACAACATTACCTGGTCATATGAGAGGCTAGCCTTGTCAAAGCGCTTATGAGCATCCTGAAAATGTATTGAACAGAACACTATATCATTCAATTATTCTCAATGTGGATTTTAATGATTTTTTGTTAATGGAAAATAATACTAGTACCTTCACATCATGCAAATCAATGTCAACAAAGTTCAGTAATCTGTCATTTAACATGTGCTCAACCTGTCAGGAAACCGGATCAGAAATTAGAGCAGGTAAATTAATAAAAGTTAGATGTGTCATGGCATGATATAAATTAGACTTTCAATAAGGGAACAACAAATATCACATTCCACCCTAATCATATGACTTTGTAGTTTCAACATGAAATGATGCTTGGGAGACCAAATTCTTACATAAGGTGCATGTTCAGAAGAAAAGAGAAAAAGGTATAAGAAACGTAAAGTATAATGATATTCCTTCCCATAAAATATCATCTGGTAACTCACATTGAGACATTGATATTTCAATAACAGACTATAAAGGGATGTTTCAAGGTGCAGTCACTTTCAGGCCTTCCTTGTATAAGCATCTCATTATGAGGAAAAACAAGAATTTGGCCTAAGTAATACATATAATCACATTCTAAATAAGAAATGCACTACCTGGGAGCGCAGGACTTCCTTGTATGTTCCAATTTCTCTTAAGGCTATTGTAAATTTGGTCATTACAGGCCCTGAAAGGAGATGAAAATTCAGTATGCGCAGTAGAGGAACTGACGACATTGAGCTCAACTCTACTCTTATGTGGGGAAAGAGTAATAAAGAAATGAGAAACAAGTAATATAAGCAGGTTGAAAAATGAAAGCAGTTAAAAGAAACAGTAAAATACTAAAGAATTGAACATTATATATTTTTCATGGACAAAGACATGGTGGCAAGAACAATTAAGCAAAACAAAACAATAAAAAAAATCCTGCTGCATACTTGCATGATAAGTTTATAAATGCTGCTGGGAAAAGCAGACAAAGAAAATAACATGACTAACCACCAAAAGCAACACTAATTGGATCATTGTGGCCTCCTCCAAATGTTTCAAGCGAGCTGGCAAATGCAATATCTCCGTCATATGCTTCCCCTAGCCCTTCACTGAAACAAAAGGGCATATGGCGCAGGGGAGTGAATTGCAGCTCAACCATACTCCCTGTGAGAAAATAAATGCATGGGCAATGAATGGTCACTTACGTATACTTACGGCAACCTTTATGGAACTTCAAACATCTCTCTCTCAGCAATTCAGCACTCTCCTCAAGTGATTGTATCTGTTTTCAATGGAACAGAAAGGTGCATAAAATTAGTCATCAATCAAAGGAAGCAAAGTTTCATTCATGACTGAAACCAGTAAGAAAATTCATTTCTTCCATATTAATAGTTACGCTTGAACATATAAGTTCTGCAAATGCCTTCTAAATTGGACAATTCATAACATCTCCTTGAAGGAGCATTCTTTTACACTATGTTCAGAACTGAAAACTTTAAATGTGCCGTGCAAGTTCATTAACGCATTTAAAAAAAATGGGAGACCTCTTATTTCATTTTAAAGGCATCAGAACGAACAAACAGCAATATATGAAGCAGGGCTCCCCTACTTAGCAAATTTTATGAAATGAAGAAAGAAGAGACCAGATTATGGAAAACAATGCACGAACAGAAAACAGAAGATTCACCAACAAAACTATTGAGGTAGTTCCATGAATACTTAAAAACTAAATAGCTGTGCAGTAAGCATGAACTTGGAATGATATGGATAAGTCAGCTGATGTACATTACAACTTATACCAAGAAGCACATTTGTTTTAGTGACAAATTGAAATCCAACTCCAGAAAACAAAATTAAACTGCTTCAAAGCTCATAGGTGCTAACTGGTAACGAGAACCTACATTGTACATCAAACTAGTGCCAGTGTATGCACGACAAAAGATATGCAGCAGACAGAGATGCGCCTACAGCCACAGCACTATGCAGCATTAGTCCGGTAATGCCCCTTCATAGAAAAAAGCGAATTTTGAAAAGAAATCAAGCTAATTCCGGACCACTCATTGTGGTGCCACGGAAAAATCACAAAATATTGGCAAAGAAGCAACAAACCTGACTAATTGACAATTCAACGACATGCTGCAATGCAGATGCACATCATACAAACACGCACACGCACACACGGGCACACATAGTAAAAACAAGTATATGCGACAATACAGAGCGGTCATAATAAAATGGAACCACATGCCGCAATGCAGACCTGCCGATCCGCGGAAGGGCAAAATCAGAGGGAAGGAATTACGCTTTCCACGTGCATTCACAAAACAAATAAACAAACAAATAAGGGAGATTCCGGGCACGCGCCGCGCATCAACCGTGCAGAGAAGAGAAGCAGCGGCGAGTTAGCAACGTTTCCCTTCCCGCAGTCCGCCACCGAGCACCGGCCATGTGTACAGCGCCGCCAAGGAGGTCAGGAAGAGACAATAAAATTTGGGGGCGGAGACACGCGCGCACGGATCAAACCTGCTCAGTGCCCAGTACCCACCGCGGCAGAATCCGGGAGCCGGTACGAATCCAAGCAAAAGGTGGTACACGCCCACGCACGCGCCTACGGGAACTCTAGGGACGGAGATCCGCCGGATCACGATTATGCTCCTCTCACCTGCGTCCGGAACATGGGTGAGTCATCGAGCTTGGCGAAATACATGACTGCCGCCGCCGCCGCCGCCGCTGGCACAGTCACCGCCACCGCCTCCGGAAACTCGCCACCTCCTACCAGCCCATCCGCGGGCACGCTGCAGCGTCCGCCTCGCGCCTGTTCGCCGCCGCCGCGAAGGTAGGCAGCTGCGGGGGGAGACGGGAGAAGGTGCGGTGTCCGCGGCAGGGCGGGGCGGGGAAGGGAATGGCGGCGATCTGGGCGCGTGGAGGGCGGGAGAATTGGTCGGGCGGCTCGGCGAGAAGCGAGGCGAGGAGGGAGGGAAAGGGGGAGGAGTCGAGCGAGCGGGGTGGTGGAATGCGCAAGAGGGGAGGGAGCCTGGGAGGGAATAATGGTGCGCTCTTTCTCTCTCCTCGTTCCGGGAGGGAAGGAGGAAAGGGGTGGCAACCGGTAACTGGTGGCGAGTTAATTAATCTCGGTCCAAATTGTAACGATTATTATTAGTCAAGTTGATTAAATTCGGGTTCAGGAGTGGGACCGGGAGGCAGACACTATTCAGCTAGTACTAAACTGGTGTTTAGATTCACGGGTAAAGTTTTAGGGTGTCACATCGAATATTACATGGAGTGTTGTATGGGGTGTTCGGATACTAATAAAAAAACAAATTACAGAATCCGTCCGTAAATCGCGAGACGAATTTATTAAGCCTAATTAATCCATCATTAGCGCATGTGTATTGTAGCACTTCATTATCAAATCATAAATTAATTAGGCTTAAAAGATTCGTCTCGTAAAGTAGTCGTAATCTGTATAATTAATTATTTTTTAGTCTATTTTTAATACTCCATATATGTGTCAAACATTTAATGTAACAGGATGTAAAGTTTTAGAGAACTGAACAAGGCCTACATTGTTTTCTTGAGCAGTCAGGAATTGCGCATTTTAAATTCCGTCGTCATCAGAGATGTCATTCTGTTTAATGATGCCGTTCTGTCACCGTTAATTAAAGCGTGGTGGGTCAGAGGATGAGTCAGAGTGGCAGCCTGACAAATGGACCGGTTGGTGATCTGCCAATTCGTCGCTGCGTTAGGAGTTGACGATTGCTGTTTCATTTCAGAATAGAAAGAGAGTGCGTCACTGTCGCGTCAACTGGGCGCTGGGCCCTGACGGACACACACGACTGTGCAGTGCTCCTGACGATGGAGATGTCGAGCCACAGCCAGAGGCAGGTCTCATCCTCTTCGTGTTTTTTCCCCTATAAAAACATTGTACCACAGTGTTAAACTGTTAATAATGTTACTATTATCATCTGCAGATGATGGGTCACAGCACAGCCGTCGCTGGATTAATTACACGCAGCGCGCACGAGATTACCATCTGCTACGGAAAAAAGCCCCGGGCAGGATTGGATTGTCACTGCCATCATGCCGCCACTCGCCCACTCGTCTGGGTACAAGATTACGAGTGGTTGCGCCCACTAATGCGACAGTGATTATGACACCGCCACTCAGTCTAATCCCCCTGCTACTGCTAGTGCTATGCTACTCACTCACTCTCTAGCTAATCCTGAGAGGCCTGATGTTAACACTAGAGGCGCACTCAGTGAGGCTGTTTTAAATACGCAGCATTTCGTCTCCATCGTACCTGCAACCTGCCTTCAATTGAGTTGATCTCTGATGAAAGGACAATGGGCTAGACGGTCGATTTTAAAAAATATATGATACAAATTTGTTTTTTAGTGTGTACATAAATTTGGCGCGTGGGTGGACCCGGAAATGCTGGCTTTTTCTTTTGGGCCCCGCTGGCCCGTTCGGAGATTCCGCGGCCCGCTGTGCGCATGATGGCCCGGAAGGCCGGAAGTCTCGTTCCCGCCACCGCCAGTCGCCCAGTCCCAGTCCCACTCCCACCATGACCCATCCACCGCCACTCCTCTCCTCGCATCAAGATTTTGTTTGGACTCGTCAAATCATGTCCATGATTGCTTCGCCTGCCCTCCATCCCTTGAAACTAAATGAATTGCTGTACTAAACAGCAATAAGAGTTTCAAACAATTTAGAGCCAGTTGCTTGTCACCAACTTCCTGGATCTCTAATCTCTAACAAAAAATGCACGCGTAAGACGCCTTCTTCTCCGGAGGATTTCATTTGGCCATTTGTGTATAATAATTATTTTTGATTTTTTTTTTTGGTTGCGTGTGAGAACTGAGAGCTGCGTTATCTGCTGATCCATGATTGGATGCCTCCTTTCTCCATGCTAACATATCGCCTCTTCCTAAGACACGAAACATGATCGCTGTCTCCTTGCGAGTTAGATGACGTGACACGGGGAAGCTGGCAGCTAAAGGGCATGTTCACTGGTTGGGGCTGATATTGATCTTGGTTTAATTTGCTTGGTCTTTGATTTTTGAGAGAGAAAAAATCATTTATTGGTTGTTAGTTTGAAATTTGGACCGAAACCAAACAAACGAATGCACCTGAAGAGCCTTAGAACGAAAAGAAACAAGAGCAGCAGCAGCAGCAGCACGCCACAGCAGCCAACTAACCAACCACCAGGACCAGAGCGTGGGAACAGAAACATAGACCACCAAACGGAGGAAAATGTCCCTTCTTTTTTCAGCTGTGCGGAAGGCAGTTTACACTGTACAGTATACTCCTACTTGGCACTTGGCAGTTGAGACCCATTCTCCATTCTTGTCTCTCTTGCGGTCATATGCCCTCAGACCGTCTCCAACGACGCAACTCAAACCTAAAATAGGTCGTCTACAGTGTTTTTGGGTATCAAAATCGCGCTCCAACGGATGACCCAGTCAGAGGACGCATTTTGCGTTCGAACCAAACCGAAACGCAAATAAACGTCTCGAGAAAGAGACGACGCAAATCTCTGAAGCCGGACGTCGAAGGTGCCGCTCGCGGTGGGGACGGAGGCGGCTCGCGCGGCGCCCCATCCCGGCAGCAGCAGCAGCCGGCGCAGCACCACCGGCGGCCCCTCCCCTCTCACCTGCCTCCGCTCCTCCCTCGCATCTCTCTCCCTCTCTCTGCCTTCCCTCCATTTCTCTCCCTTCCCCTCTCCCTTCCCTCCTGACGTGGCGACGGGCACGACGAGGCGGCGCCTGCGCCTGCTACGGCCGGCCCCCGGCGGCCCCCCTCCCTTCCTCCCACCCCCCGCGCGGGCAAACCCCCGTGGCAGCGCTCCTAGTGTTTCTTGAGAGAGATAAAAAATCTGTGATTTTTGTGGTGTATTTGCTATGATTTGGTGTGGGAATGGAAGCCCAAATCCTCCTTTTCTCCTTCGGGATTTATCATTCTTGCTTGTGATTTTCGTTCTTCACTGTGCTCTGTTTTTCGTTTCTAGGAAGGTTTTGCGTTCTTGGCTGTGATATGAAATTAACGAAGTTTGAGTTGGGTTCAAGCCATGATTCTGCTGGGATAGCTCACCAACATCATGGAGATCACCTGTGCGAGATTTGGGGCCGAGTTGTTTTGATTTGGCTCGGTTTTCATCGATTCTCTTGGCCGCCGGTTTCCTTTCCATTCTTTTGTTCGTACGAGTCCATCCTGTTCGTGCTTTGACCGTTCGTGGTTGGCGGCTGTGCTGCGAACCCAGCTCTGAGCGCTTGAGTGTCGTGCGCTCGTTCCCTCGCTACTCTTCTGCACAACACGGGGAAGACGAAGACGGAGGAGCAAGCGGCACCGGACGGAGGAAACTGGCAGTCTTGTTTTGGGTTCACTGTTGGAGAAGGAAGATTTTTTGGTGCATGACCTTTTCCTATACGTGACTCAAATCCTAGTATAGGTCTCGTGTTTGCGTTCTCATCGTTGGAGACAGTCTCGGAGGACAGACTCTACACCGTGCTGCTTGGCAAATGCCAAGGATTGCGACGCTGAGATTTTTTTTCTCGAAAAACGAGAGAGATATGCGTCTCATTGGCCCCGTTCGCGTGCCCTTAAACCCGGCTTGATCCGCTTCTTTTTTCATCCAGAACAGTGTTTTCTCTTACAAATTTCTTCCAGCATTCCTCCAAACCATCCAAATTCCTTCAGAATTCCTCCAAGCGAACAGGCCCATTGTATTAAGAAGAAATAGGGTATAAGAACCCAACACTTACAGGACACCCAAACACAACTCACTCACACAACACACGCTACAGCAGCCAAAGCACATACACACCTAAGTTGCTTGCAAAACGACCCACACAGATATGGTACAGTATTTTTCCCTCACGACAAATCAGCAAACAGTACTTTTCAGCCTAGCTGATCAGATCACGGCGTAGTAACGTCCTTGGCACTCGGCAGAGCAGAGTTACAGGATCCAAGTACAGGTGCTCATAAACCCAATACCACCATCAGGTACAGGTAGTAGATGAATTTAAGCTGTGCTCTTCAATTCTCATTATTAGTCCTGAACAAAACTGTAAGGAAAATGGACCCTTGGCCCATTTACTTTGGATTTTGTTGTTTGATGACCAACACAACCAAATTGGACTAATGAATTTGCAAGTGTTTGTTTTGTAGTCCAATAGGGTGCAAGACGTGACTTGGACAAAGGCGACATGATGATCTGATGATCAACACCTCAAGCAAGACCTTAGAAGCACAAGAAAAGATCCAAGATGTCAAGCAAAGTCCAAGCATAAAGATAGGAACCAAGCCGTGCGCAAGATCGCGAAGAAACGAGCTCGCAGAGGCGACCGGACGCTGGACCGGACGCTGGAAGCGCGACCGGACGCTGGACCGGTGGCTCGGCAGACAGGCGACCGGACGCAAGGACCGGACGCTGGCGGCAACCGACCGGACGTAGGAACGCAGCGTCCGATTGAGTACAGAGAGGTTCTAGGCGCGCGAAACTGCGACCGGACGCGTCCGGTGGCAGGCGACCGGACGCTGGCAGCGTCCGATCGGTAGTTCGCGGCTACAACTGTCGGGACGACCGGACGCGTCCGGTCAGGACGATTCAGCGTCCGGTCAGTAGCAGAATTGCGGGAGTTCGACCCCAACGGCTACTTTCTCAGTGGGGCTTATAAATACAACCCCCAACCGGCCATTTGAGGT